CCGTACTAGTGGAGCTGGACATTGACAGAAAATATTATAGCGCCAAAACAGTACCACCTTTTCTTTCATTCTCCCCAACACTGTGAATTCTTGTTGGTTTCATTGGATCTTTACAAGTACTGGTTAGCCCCAGCTTCGGCCCGAGTTCCAGTTCCGTTGTCATTTTTATCTCTGAATTGTTTCTTCATGCTCACACTGCTCATCTCAAATTTCGGAGCAAAAATATTTCTAGATGATGCTGTCAACGCTGACACCACGACTTGTCTCCAGGCAATGCTTGAACCGAATTATTGCCATCAGAAGCGCATCCAAGGGAATGCAGCTCTCGGTGAGTGAGCTGTTTCCTTCCACCTCTTTCCTTTTATTCCTCACAGGCTTCTTCTCATAGATTTTTAGGTCGAACTGACAGTTTATGATCTTGCAGGGGAAGCAGAGCTTGACCGTTGATCCAGCACTTGGACATTTCAAATACGAGAGGGACATTTCTCGAGATCCTCGTTATACCAATCCACAGAAGCTCGGCGACACCCCCACGAGGTATGTCTTAACTTGGTGCCAGATGCTTCTAATGTAAATTCCCACTAAAAGGGAAGAGGTCGATGCCTCTGCTCCTTCACTGTTGAGAAATCACACTGAGTTATTTTCACGAAAATATCAAGTGATCTTTTATCCGCTGCTAGGAACTTCTAGCCGATGAGAAAAGCTTTATGAGGTAACAAACATTAGCATACCGTACTATGCCTCGAGTACGGTATGTTAATATCGATCGGGGCTTCGGGGAAGATAGGTCAAACCGTACGCGGTCACAACAGCACTCATATGCTCTTGCACAGTGTGATCAACAGTTGCTGGGATTATGAGGACCGCTAAATCTTCAGCTACCATAAAAGGTGTTTGCTGAACCACAAACTTCATACTATGAGCCAGCGTTTCGCGCGTTTTGAGCGGCTAAGAAAGTATATACAACGGTATAGCGTGTTGAAGGTACATAAGCGTTTTCAGCAACCAGGAAAGTATAGGTATCAAATCAAACGAGTTTTGTGCGTATGCTGAAGACGCTGGATCGATAGCTATACTTTCCTAATCGTTCAAGACGCTTGGAACGCTGATGCGAAGTATGTACGCGCTCCGAGACAGGATAAAAAGTCGTTGTGTGAAACACATATGGGGGTCGTACTTTTCGGTTGGGGCGAGGCCGTTCTTGGTCGTTGCTGAAAGAGGCGTGAAGTCGTCCTTCCTTCGAGAAAAATTTGCCGCGCTGGGAAAAATTTTTTCCGGCTGTTTTTCGGGGTTTTTTCCTGTTTTGTGTGTACTAGACCCCCCATCGCAACAGATTTT